GCAGGAAACCGATGCGTTGTACTCATTAAACAGGCTATTAAAAAGTAAACAGATATCTAGGAATGCCAAAATAAGGATTTACAAAACAGTTATACAACCAGTGGTAACCTACGCCAGTGAAGTGTGGACACTGAACAAAGGCGAAACGGGTATGCTCGAAATATGGGAAAGGAAGGTTTTGAGAAAGATATTTGGAGGGAAGATAGTAGACAATACATGGAAAAGAAGAACAAATAAAGAATTAGAAGATATGTACAAGAATCCTAGTATAGTAGGAGTAGTAAAGGCTCAGAGACTCAGGTGGCTAGGGCACATAGAAAGAATGACAAATTCTCGAGTACCAAAAATGATTCTGATGCATACAATGGGTACCAAAAAAAGGAGAGGAAGGCCGAGAAGTAGATGGAAGCAAGAAGTAGAGAAAGACCTAGAAACACTGGGAATAGAAAGATGGAAGGACAAGGCTACTAATAGGAATAAATGGAAAACAATACCATCTCAAGCCATGGACCTACTAGGCTCGTAGTGCTGTTATATATATATATATATATATATATATATATATATTATATATATATATATATATATATATATATATATTATACCTACAGGCTAACATGAAATTTAATAAACAATCTATAAATATTATTAATAAGGCCGACAACTTACAGGGATTTGTAATAAGAAATTCCAAAAATTTTAGTATAAACACAACGATTGGACTATATAGCTCTTTAGTCAGACCAAATTTGGAATATGCGTCACTGGTATGGGCTCCTGATGCCAAAGTTAATATTAATCATATAGAAAAGGTACAAAAAATATTTCTAAGGTATTTATACCTTGCTGTATCACCCTTGCTGTTTATATACTCTGAAAAAATATTTCAAAAATCAGTAGAAGATCAGCATCAGATACGCGGATGACATGATGGTATTCGCTGACAGTTATGAAGCCCTCCAGGAATTAATGAATAGAATCACTGAAGTGAGTCAGAGATATGGACTTTCACTGAACATTAAGAAAACAAAATGTATGATGATCTCTAAGAAGGAAGAGCAAATTGAAAGAATCAGTGTGAATGGTCAACCAAATAAAAACATACACCTACCTTAGTACGAACGTCAATGAAAACTGGGAATATTTCCTGGAAATAAATTCTAGAATAGAGATAGCAAGATGCATGTCAAAAAATGGCTTCTTGTAGTCCATATAATGCTTGTTCTACTAATGATATGATCAGTATAATATGTTAATAAAGATCTGTGATATAGATCTATTTAACTGTAGTGTAATTGATATTAAGAAATGTTATGGATAGATAATAATAGACGGACTCAAATAATTTTAAAATTTTATTATTAATCAATTTAATATTAATTATTTAATTATTAATATTTTGATTTTAATTAATTTTATTATTAATTTTATTAACATTTTTTTACTATACGAAGACGGTTGCGTTTCCATTTAATTTGAGTCTCCTACCACTCCCTAACACGTGTTTCTGGGTCTACCCGACATCAGAGAGAGTTTGTAAGAAGTCATTTTGTCATTTTTCGTTGTAATTTCAACTTATTACATACAAAAAACCTTGAAACTAAAACTGTAGTCTCCAATTATTGCATTTATATTTTTATACAGTTAATACAAAAATAAAAAAGTGCCACGTGTGCAGAACAACCATTTCGGATCATGAGGTTTCGTTTCCTCTCCCTGATTTTATTTTCTCTCGAAATCAGCCCTAGAGAATTCTTTCACTTACTTTTAAATTAAATTGGACACCGGACCCAGATCGATTGTTCGAGTTCCTAGTGATTCTCCTCCGGTTTTACAAACGAGAGGAGGCACGAGAAGTCAATTTGATTTAGTGCAGTTCTATCTGGAAAATGAGGAGTGACATACGTTTCTAAGTAATTGAAAACTGCGTGAAAACATATGTGAAGAGAAAGGGAGAGGGCGTCTACGATCTCTATCAGATTACACCACTCTTTGTCCGTAAAATTCACGCCATAGTCCCTTTGTGTTTCTAAAATAACAAGGAGATGGGGCTAAAATCAACTGAAACATGCGACTTTTGTATTTTCTTGCAAAATGCTTAAAAAATGAACTAATGTAAACCTGTTAGATTTTTAAACGCATAAAAGATGAAAAAACTTGGTTTGTTTAAGAACAAAATTGTTTCTAAATTACATATTTTTCGAAAATTAAACCAGTTATTTTGTATTTTTTGTAGCTGGAACATAAAATCATTTAACTTTCATAAACTCATCGTCAAAAACCTTTCCTAGTGGGGTGCAAATGTACCCCAACAGTTTTGGCTAATTTTTATTATTATAATTAAGGAATATCGAAAAGGAATACATGTGGATTATAACCAATATCTATTTTTTATGCTATAAACATTGATAAACGGTTAGACATTTTTGAAAAAACGATATGAAATGATTCGTAAATCAAAAAAAAATCATTACGACCAAGAATAAGATGCTGTGACTTTTAAATAATAATTTAACCATCACACTAGTTACAAACTAATGAGTAAATGAGTAAAAACTCTAAGATTGGCGAACGGATTCATTGTCCACTGTTATATAAACCCAAACAAACAACAACAAATTTTCAGATCAACAGAAGGCCAACGCCTTCAAAATACATTTACAATACACCTTAATCTCCCCCGATGACCCTAGATGTGACCACGACTACCGTGCAACGAATGAGGGGGACATAACAAGACGACTCGCCACTCCCTTCGATCATCCTATCATGGCACCTGTGGGACAACAAACCTTCGAACATTTTTGCCAAATCGGCAAATCAAATTCATCGGGACCTGACAAAATTGCCAGGAACTGCGTGAAACAACTCCCACCAAGTGTCACACTCTACCTAACGAACATAGTCAATGTCACTCTTAGGCTCTGCCACTTTCTATCTCCATGGAAGGTAGCCAATACGCCTATGCTCCTAAAAAAGAGCAAACCCCGGGTCGATCTACACTCGTATAGGCCGATTTCCCTACTAAACGTTTTAGTTGAGGTCTTCGAGAGGAACCTTAAGGAGAGACTCGTTGACTTTACCACAGAACACAACATCATTCCAATATTTCAATTCGGCTTTAGAGAAGGCCACTCCGCTACAACGGCATTGACAGAGATCGTCACCCACCTCACACAAAGTCTAAACGACAGCAAACATTTTTCTCGATGTCCAAAAAGCCTTTGACCAAGTTTGGCATGCTGGACTGAAGAGGACACTGTTAAGCATCGGCCCACACTTGAGCAGGATATACTAACACGCTCATTTTGCTCTGCGCAGACGATACCGCTCTCGTAACTACAGCACGAGACGTAAATTCAGTACTTAGGTTTGCTCAAAATCAACTTGACCTGGTTGACAGGTGGTGCAGGAGATGGAGAGTAACACCTAACCCTCATAAAACTCAGATGATTCTCTTCCTGGCTTCCTTCGTGTCACGCTAGACAACATTGATCGGGTTAGGAAACCATGTTAAAGTTCTTGTACTCAGGACACCCATACGAAGAGCATTTCACTGATAGTTATGCTCTTATCGCGCATGAGAGTACTATAGAGGGAAAAGGAGTAGTCTGGAGCATTGATGTGTGATGTAGTGGTTCTTCTTTACATAATTAATACACCTGGCTCCAATGAATTGTAACACCCGTACGTCATTTCAAAGGGTGTACAAGTCTCTCAGGCTAGGTAAAATCAAATTGCTTGCTTGCAAAAATATCATGGAGCGCATAGCATGGTGAGGGAGCCCTGTACCTAACTACCTACATTACGAGAGTTGGAAATCTTTGAATTCCAAGCCTTGCTTCAAAGGACTTGTGAATGGATGCATCTCCATAGGTTTGGTTCTTCAGTGACCATTGAAGGATAAGGATTCTTAATGTGAGCAAACATAGCTCCAGAGAAATAAAATCACCTTTGAGTTTATCGATTTATAATTAAATCTTTTAAGAGTAGAGAGGCCCAACACGATCGTAACTTACTATAGAATATCAAATGTACTCTTTCTTTATAACACGTAAAAGAAAAACACCGGTATGAGAAAATGCCCGATTTCGGCGAAGAGAAATATTTAATATGTGAATTGAGTTTTTAACTACTCGATGCCTCGATGGCCATGTGTGAACTTGAACTGATCTTACTGAACTGATAAAACACTACATAATGCGTGAACGGGAATATTACCCCTATTTTATTTAGGTGTGAAAAATATTTAACAGAGTCAGACGCTACTCAGTCGGGTGTCGTGTTCAAACTTGATAAGGTGACTGTTCTAGTTATTGTACACTAAAAAAAGTCAAAGAATTAAATTTTTATTTTATATTTTTAAAACAATATGTTCATTTCTGGAACAGCATGGCTTAAGTGGAACTAGGCGGGCCCATAGACTTAAAATATAAATAATAGACTGTGCTTTTCATAAGGCAAAGTGAAGGGAACATTTTTTCTTAAACTTTTTTCCGCTGTATCTGTCTCTTGTACGGATATGGAAGAATTTGAGTGATTATACATAGTTAGATTGCGCTTATGAGCCATATTCCATATCGTTTATATTCATTATTTTATTTAAACCAATGAAGAGAGAGGGTAAAATAAAACAACGAGCTGGAGATAGATAGAGGAAATTAATTGAGAGATCTTGCTGCCATTGGAAACTACCAACTTGCTCAGTCTATTTTATAATAAGTCTATGGGCGAGCCAGGTGGTTAGACTGAAGATGGTTAGAAGGACGGGTAGTGGACCAGAAAATTACAGTGTACACGAGCAAATATATACGATAGACAGAGGACGTCAAAAGAATCGCTTGGAATTGCTGCAGGAAGCTCAAGACCAAAGAACTGGAAGAAATTAGGGGAGGCCTATGTTCAACTTCGGACGCAGAAAATTGGATGATGATCATGATGATACTTCTGTACTTTTTAGAACATCTTGTTATAGTAATTTGCTTTTAATATACTCATAGTTGTTTAGAGTCTGTCAATTACGTTGTCCAAAACTGTGTAAAAGTTTCTTTGTGTCAGAAAATTCAAGTAAATAGGTATGATTTCACTCCCCTTAAAAAAAATGTCCATAATAATTTATCACAAAATGTCAGTCATTTTACTTTCATTCTCGATAAGTACGTAGCAATGTTGTGTACTCCGAAAGATAAGATACAAACACCAGATAAGTCAAACACACCGAATAAACAAGCCGGGTTACTTCTTATCGCACTCACCAGACCAACTCAACAGTTTACCACCACGCCCCCCACTTTCTCCACTCCTGACTACAACCATAACCACACAAACTGACGAGAAAGACGGTGACGCACCAGCAAACAAACAAAATACAAACAGTAAGTGGCAGGGAGAATTGCGATCAAAGTCGACCGTGGAATAAATACATCTATCTCAGCCAACTCTGACCGCACCAGCTGGGTAGCTATTAGGCCGATTCAGTTGTTTATTGTGTGGAATAAAAAGTCAGGAAAATATGCTACTTCTTTAATTTAATATTTCATATAAAGCTTATAAATTACGACCTTTCGGTTTCTGAATATATCTATAATTGAGATTTATTGTATTTATTTGTAAACATAGAACTCTTTTGTCCCAAGTGGGCAATCTACTATCCCAAGTATGTTTTGTCGTATTAAAAATATTTGAATTTCTGTGATCTTTACAATTTTAGAGGCAAACCAATTATCAGTAAACTTCACTCACTGGTAAATGATGGTGAATAGATTATGTAGTTTTCTTTTAGTTATTAAGATGTCTTTTGCAGCTTTTGTTTATATTCCAAACTTTTCACCAAACTTTTTTATTCCAAACTTTTCACTTTTGATGATGTGATGGTTTTCTTTTTCTACCTGAATTTCTCTCTCTGTGATATTTTTGTTCTTGTTACACAATGATTGTATATACAGATAACGACATTGTTTTCTTGATCATAGGAAATGAGATTTATTGCAATCCCATCTCTAGAGTATAATGCTCTATCTGTTCGATCCTGTTGGAGATAAACCTCCTGCCGGAATGATCTTAGTCTGTAAAATATGTAAAATGTAAATATTTGGGCCCGTCTTGGTTTCCATCGATAAAAAATGGACCGACAATATGGTCGCCTAACAACCCAGTCCAAACATTTAACTTTTGCGCATGCTGCTTTTGCACTGCAACACTGAGGGGCTTTTTTCCGAGAATAATACCTTGCAACGAATGGGTTGTGTTTTTTATGTAATGAAAATGAAGATTGATGAAGTGTACATTTTCATTCTGTTTATCTAACATAAATTTACAAAACTCCATCCGCCTAAAGTTATCTTCCGGAAACAGTTCTTGTGTTGATTGTATCTTAAAACAGTGATAGCCATTCCTTTTGAGAACTCGCTGGACAGTTTGAGCATTCACGTTAACTTCCCTAGCAATTTGTACACTATTGGAGGGTTTGCTACAAAGGGTTTTCACAAAAGTACAAATATCAATATCCCTGTTTTGACGCTCATCATCGATAGGTCTAACACGTGGTTCATTACCTTTATGATACTTTTTACAACTGTTTACACTTCCCGAAGTTTGAAAATGTTTAATGGTATTTTTAACTGTTGTAACACTTGGCGGGGGTCTATTTTCGAAGGCAACAATAAATAAATCGATTACTTTGCGTATCGAATGACCCTGAAAGTACCATGTTACAAGTTGCACTTTTTCTTGGACGGTATACAACGTAATAGGCATTTTATTAATTAAACTTTGATAATATACAAGGCAAATAACGAGCACAGTATTAATTTAATCCTGCCCAAGTACTTTCAATCACTAGATCATCTTCAGGGACATTTCGTCAATTGCGGCCTATCCGACAAGAGTAGAATGTCATAAATATAAAATGGGACATCATTTTAAAATTTTTGAAGATAGGTGAAGCTACATGGTGTATAGAAGCCGGAGACAGAATGACTATGACAAAATGAATTATTTTGAGTTTATTATTATGTGTTAATATTTGTTGTCTGATCTTTTTCTTTTCCTTTGCTATCGCCTGACACTCTTCGTCAAACCAATCTTTGTTTGTACTTCTTTTGGAGTCGCACTTAACTATTTTCTCGCTAGCTTCTCCTACAGCAGATTTTGATTTTACACATATATAAACTTGAGGGAGTATATGAGAGATATATAATGAGGGAGTTAACATTCTTGATTACTAAACATTAGAAAAAAACCTATTCAATTGGTTTTTAACCAGTCGCCTCTCTTTAAAGAACTATAAATCACTGTAATACTGATCAACTCTAACACTGATATTGGACACATTGCTCTATCACAATGTGCAACCGGAGCTAAGTTTCTGAGGGTAGACTTGGATGCAGGATTAACCTGGGAAAAACATATAGTTAATGTATCAAAATAGCTTTTCCTACAACTTTTCCTTTTTAGGAATCTTTACAAGCGACTCAGGGAAACTATTTTATTTAAACAGCTTATCATAGTCAAACTGTTATCTAACTTATGCTGTTCTCTCTTGGGGCCACTCTTGTCATATTGTGTTTATACAACAAACAAAGTGTGTTCGTATTATCTTTGAGAAAGGCCATTATACATCGTGAGTCGGACTTTTTAATGGTAAAGTTTCTGACGCCTAGGTAGCGATAGGAAAGATAAGCGTCCGTACTAGGCCCAGTTTCGTGTTCCTGGTTATATCCGTATCTTTCCAGATTTTAGTTAGTTTGATGGTTGCTGTAAGCTCCTAATTTTAGGCAATTAAAAGTTAATTAACTAAAGATACTGAGACAACTACATCCGATTGTGATAGTAAAATTATGTCTCTGTGATTAATAATTTTCGTACACAGATTGTAATTTATTTGACAGCTTTTCTGTAATAATATCGTCCAACTCCTGTCCTACAACATAGTGGTGGCGAACGAAGTATAACAGCCGGCGTGGCATAGCAGGACACGGGGAAGTGCGGGCGCGTTGTCGATAGATGAGTCATCGGCGGTTGTGGGCCACTGCAGGACCGCCGGAGGAAGAGAAAAGTGCTCTGCCCTCGGTGGGTTGCACAAGTGGCACTGACCCCCTGGTACGAGGTGACGGGTTAGCGATTGTAAACAATCGAGTAGCTAACAAACCTTTGAGATGATTGATTATGAAATTGAAGTGAATAATAGTTAACGTATCTTTGTGATCGATGTCCAGTAGCGATATTTTGGTCCATTGTGTTGTGGAAAAATGTATCTGAGTAAAGCGTTGTTATGTAAATACAGGAAGACCTTACATTGGCGTCCTTAGTTTTGTAAAATTGTTCTGGAATACTACAAGTATAAAATTACAAGGTTTCATCCCAAAATGGCTTTTGCTTCTAACCATTTTTTTTGTTGGACGTCCTCTTCTTTTTTCCCCATTTCTCCCTCCTTCAGTATTGCTTTAACATTTCTATTCTCTAGTATTCGTATAAGTATAATGTGATCAAGCCGTCTAGCTCTTTGGACTCGTATTTCTGTGCTAATTGCTGGTTTTCCATACATCCCCATTATTTCTTTATTTGTTCCTCTTCTCCAAGTATTCTCAGCCGTCTTTATTCCTCCGAAAATTTTTCTGAGCACCTTTCTTTCCCAGATCTCTACTTTCTTTTATTCCTGCTGGTTCATAATCCACGTTTCACGGACATAGATCACTGTGGGTCACAACTTTAACTTGTACACTCTGAATTTCTGATTCGTTTTAACGCAAACCTTAATTTTGAGACATCCTATACACATTAATCGCTGAAATTCTTAATAGCTTAACTTGTTTTCGTTTTAATAAAGAAAGTCATATTAACTTTCATAACTAGATTTAAGTCCTCTCTGGATATTACTTATGAAAGAAAAGCTTGTTGGTAGGCTTTTAAAAGAAGCTTAAGAAGTACTCGAGATTTAAAATTGTGTAATTACTGTTTTAAAATGCGAGGCTGTCACTCATATAGATTGATAAAAGCAATGACGTAACTTTATATAATTAACTAATCAGGGGGAAAAACGAGTCCACAAAATAAATTTTCATGGAAATCGAAATTTATTGTTTCAAATTAAAACAAATTTTTTAACTCAACGGTGTAAATCGAAGAATGGCAGTAGAACAAGACATACTTAGCTACATCGAATAAAAACGTTTAATTGGGTATGGACATGTGAGAAGAACAGATCATACAAGGTGGATAGCAAAGATTTCGGATTGGAGCCCAATAGGAAGGAGGAAAAGAGGTAGACCCCGAAGATCATGGAGGGATGAAGTGGACGAGGCCATGGAAAGACGGGACCTTAGAGATGGAGAATGGCAGAACAGAAAGGACTGGAGACGTTGGCTGAAAGAATGAAGGCGTCGACAGCTGTAAAAATTCTTGTATAGATAAATACATAGGTATAAATCGGTAAATTTTTTCAGTGGTATGTTGACATGTTCACAGACGAAAAAATCAAGAGAAGACAAAAAGATATTTTATTTGCGTAGCGTCATACAAAAAATTGAGTGGACCGGCATGGACGAACTTCCCTCTTGTTCAGTACCTTGTAAATCAGTGTAGAACTTTCTAGAGTGTACGTTTTCCAAATATTTGGTCAAGTGGAGAAGATCTGGTAACTTAGCTGCTTTGACCGTAAGTGGGCCGTTGTATCAGGCCCACTTCGGGATAATTATGGCTAGTAACTTCCGGAGTTGTAATATTCTGAGCTTTCCTTAAATTTCTTTTCGGGTTCCATTTAACTTTGCGTTCAAACACCGAGGTTGCAAATAACCCAGAATAGGAATTCTTGTGAAAGATAAATTGTTGGCTATTTGCAACACTCGAATAGCTCTCGTATGCATTGGACATTTCTTGTGATGCTTGTTGGAGAAATGCTTAGTTCGATTCAGAAATTTGATATATTTCCCACAGTCCACCACTAAGAGTCGCAGTTATCAAATTTTGAACCTGAGATGACAATACATTATACAAAGTAATGAATTGAACACATATCGTCAGCTCCCCCGTCATTTTTGCTACCGATTCATCATAATTATAGAAAAGAGAGGTAGAATCGACCAATACATGTTCATTAAAGCTTATAAAATTAAGTTGCCGTTTATGGTAGACATCATTTGAGGTCACATTAGAGGTTGGTAAATTTTTTTTGGTGTATGGTTATGGCTTTGGTATCGATTACTTTTGACGACAATTTTCGATATTTTCTTTTCACAGAATAAAATTTTTCACTTCTCGCAAGATGAAGTTGTTTCTCGTTGTTCTTTTCTTCTAATTTCTTCAAGATTTGGGTTTTATATTTATCATTGCTG